GTAAGGAGACCATTGAGGAAATATATAGTAATTTTGGCTTGGGACAGATTAAAAAACACTTTCTAGGACTGTATTTCCAGTGGATGATGTGCATTGGTCAGTCGCTTTGCAGCGTTATCATACTTGCTTTGAATGGTTGGCCGCCAGTATTTCCTCTGGCAATGACATCTGGACTTTTCTTCGCTATCGGTGGGTATACTCAAGCTTCGTTGTTTCAGTCGAATCAGGGTTGGGTTAGTCTCTAGGTAACGCACTCACAGTTCACATCATGGATGGAATAGGCATGGCAGAAGGCTATTTGTTGTGGAATACAGTGACTTGCGTCACCGGATGGGCCGTTACGAGGTTCGGCCTGCTTGGAAATCCTCAGCAGCTACCTTACGACAGTGTCATGAACATCATTGGTGTCATTATCGTATGCTTAGGGTGGGCTTGATACAGTATAATAAAGGAAATAATATTGAATGTTAAATGTATGACTTTGCTTATTTTTCAGTGGATGTTTTTTCGCGACAATGAAGCACCATCGACGGTCAGTTCGACCTGCACCCTGGCAGGAAAAGGCACGTACTTGAGTACAATGAATTTGAATAGCTGAGGGCATGTTCATATGGAATGGTTCACGACTTTCATAAGATAATAGCGTAGACGCGAGCGCACACGTAGTAGGAAGTGTTGAAGACGTTCACAGCGACTTCGCCATAGAGTTAAACACCGTCACAGGGTTCGCTCTTCCTTCTATCTGCAGCTTCTTCCATTACTACTCCAGTTTCTTTTTGATCATTCCCGCCGCCGTCCTTAAGACCCCCTCTGATTGCTTCCTTCAACTCTCGAATACAGTTGCAACTCTTAATATCACCATTGCAGTAACGCAGATCGCTCTCACGTCTTTAGCTGGACAGGAGCTTTACCACAACCGACCTGTCGTCCCCGATTCTTAGTTTTCTAATGCCATTGTGCCATGCCTAAACCCAGGCTTATCAGAACAGAGCGACATTCTTGTTTATGACTTTCAAGTGCGGGCCATCACTTGCTGTCGCAGGGTATCGCAAATCCCACCCCGGTCGATACCTTTTCTCTGAGCGTACCGGAGCACCGTTGGTCACAGAATATACCAGTATACTATTTCCACTTCATCCACATTCGAGCTTTTACAGCCTAGTTCATGCTGCCGTCAGCGGCTAGATCTCTCTTCAGATATTATAATTAGGATCGGGCAGTAATATCGGTTTTGTATAATCGATTCGCCGCGTGCGGCAGTCGCGGACCATTCGCCCCAATGTTACAGTTAGCGTTTTCCATACAGCTCAACCGATATGCGATTATTATTTTTGGCATGGTTCTAATGTTAGTTCTTTTGTTCCTGTATTTCTTACTTGCCTGCATTCTGCTACACTCCTTTGCACGCGGCGTCTATCTCGCCGCGACACGACAGTTTTGGTACTACTGCACCAGACCTAGTTAGAACACTCCATCAAACTTCCCTTTTGTTTGAAAATGAGAACGATAATGCTTCCTGCCCACGCACCTGGAACTTTTCCTTTTGCATTCACAATGTTCAGTAACCGCCTGATCCACATGATTCCGTAGGTATAAGAGCACGGTCCGGAAATTACAGGTACAGGTTTGAGTCCCGTCCGAGACTGAAGTTTTGTCCATAAATCGCCATCCTTGTGAGACTCTCGCATCGAGTACTGCGGTGATATAACAGCAGTTAACAAAACATCAAGTCAGCCTTCCCACCTTTGCTTTCTCTATTGCTGAATCAATCTGATCCTTTGCCTGAGGTGTGATGGAACCGGCCGGCAGTAGGCTCTAGTTGGAGGTGTTCTCGTGGAGACCCTCGTTAGGAGCCTGTCTAAGTACTCTTTTCACCTGACCATCAGGCTTCCTCCACAGGAGTGTACCGTCGCTGTCCTTTACTGCCCTCATAACTTTGATGATTCATGTGACCATGGTGCTCTTTGACCAGCTGGACGATGAACTCCCTTCCACACGGTTTTTGTAATTAGCATCCATTTTCCGATGCTTTGTCTTCACCACGGCAGCCTTGACCTGCCCCCTGGCATCTTCTGTCGACGGCTGGGTCTTTTGGAGCTTCCGCCGTCTGCAGCGCTTGTATGATAGACGATCTTCTTCTGCTACACAACTCGCTGGTTTCATGGTTTCAAAACCAGCCTTCCTAGTATTCTTGGAATCCGCCTCGAGTCTCCCCCAGCGTTCTCCTTCCACACTCTAGGATTCACAAACAATTGCTCCTAATCTGCTGGATTGGTCCTTCAAGGAGACTAGCTTACAGTAACCTCTACCACGGTCTTCTTTCTCCGCTCGATGTAGCTTCTACCAAGAATGCTTTGCTTCATTCTACTCCTTAATTTCTGGCTGGGTCGACTAAGAGAGATCTGTGGTGCGAAGCCAAACCTTTCCAAGCTTATAAATTACAGTTTTGGGAGGTATCGGAATCGTCTTCTTTGGCCGAGGTTGTTCTCCCTCTGTAGCAATCCTCCTACTGTCTGCTGTGGGTCCTTTCCGGGCGAGTTCCTAGCTTCTTTTGAAACTTTAGGCATGTTTGTTCTCTATCATTTTTTCATAAAAGCTCCATTAGATTCGGGAAGGACTCTTATTTATCGCATTTCATCATGTGGTTACTAATTCCTGAAGTTTTTCAGCCCGAGAGACGATTGTCTTTTGAAATCGTTGATCAACCAATTTCAACACTCAAGCGAATAACGTGAGTAACATTCGGAAAAGTTGTAAAATTTCAAGATGTCGGTCAACTTAACAGCGCAGGTGGCGATTAATGGGCTTACGATCGAAATCATCCAGCTCTCCATTTGTCTAAACTAATGACTAGAAAAAACCGATGGAAAGAGATAAAGTTCTTTAATTTATTCGTTCAATTTTGCATAACCTTGATGTACTGACCGTTAGTCTGCGCTGTCATACTGAATCATGGTGCGGTAGTGTTTCATTCACGACGATGGAGCCTCTTTCGAATATATCTAAGAAAATCAGGGGCAGGCACAAAAAGCAGCCAACCGCACCTTCCCGTCAAGGGCTACAATCTAATCCTTCTGACGTTGATCCTAGTAGAAGTTGCCTACAAGCAAAAGGGTTATTTTTGCACGATTTTTGGCAGGACGAAGAGTTTTAATCAGACTCAGTACGTTATTGCAGTGTTGTGAGCCTACGCTCTCACTTGTGATTTACCGTAGTCATCTGATCTTATCACTATTGGATTGGTTTATTAGCCAGTTTGAATACTAATGGACCCCTTACTTACCTCAGTTTATCATGATATTCACTTCTTCTTAATCAGCAAATCTTCTCCCTTCGTTTCCACGT